CACTTTTAATACAAGTTTAATTCATTTTGCAGTTTATTGGTTGATTTGTTACGATTGGATTACTTGTTTAATTCATTATTGATACAAATTTTATTCAGTTTACTGATCATAGAATGTTCTTTCGTTTGCTACATTTTGTATTCATGTTTAATTCTCTTTTAATTTAACTTTAACATGTGTAATACATATTTAATTCAAGTTTAATTCATTTTGCAGTTTATTGGTTGATTTGTTACGATTGGATTACTTGTTTAATTCATTATTGATACAAATTTTATTCAGTTTACTGATCATAGAATGTTCTTTCGTTTGCTACATTTTGTATTCATGTTTAATTCTTTTTTAATTCAACTTTAATATGTGTAATACATATTTAATTCAAGTTTAATGCATTTTGCAGTTTATTATGTCTCTTTATTTGTTACAAAGATGACATCATATCTTCAAATCTAACTTTCTCATGCAAATTCACCTTTAGATATGAGGAAGTATGGGGCACAAATATGACATCATATCTTCATTTATTCAAACTTTCATAGTTTCAAACATTCATATCTTCATATATTCAAATATTCATATCTTCAAATCTTCATATATACAAATATTCAAATCTTCAAATTTTCATCAGGTATGAATACAATTATTTATATAACCTTCATTAGAATGAAAATAGTCGACAACGCCAAAGCAACAAATAAAAACTAATCGACTTCTTCTATAAACTAAGCAGCCCCAATTCTTCGATTTCTGAAAATTTCCCTAACTTTTCTATAGATCTTTTGCCTTTGATAAAAACCTAACTTTTTTTTATAATATTGAAAATTCATAGATAGAGGAGGTACAGGGAGAAAAAGAAAGAAAAAAAAGCATAGAGAGAGAGGGGGGTGCAGAGAGGCTGCAGGGCCAGGGAGGAAAAGAAAAAAATAGTGAGAGATAGAAAAAAACCGGAGAAAGAGCGCAAGAGAAAATAATAGATCTAATAAAATAAGTATACATAATATTATTATATATTGCTATAAATGGTAATAATTAAAAAATATGTTTAAAAATAGTAATTATTAATTAAAAGGGACTTATTCAAGTAATTAATCCAAGATAATAGAAGAATATTTGATTGCGAGTTCAACTACGTAGTTTGGGTTCATGACTTTGTATTTGTCTTAAAAATTATTTTGAATATATGTAAATTATTAATTTAAAATTAAGTAACTTAAACATAGTAGAATTCATAATCCATAATTTTCAAATTGTGGCTCCGTCTGAAACACCTATATACCCTTGCCCTCACCAACCCCATAGCCACCATCTCCCGACCCCCACACCTTATCATTCAATCTCACTCCTATAGTGTTTGCTTAAATTATATACTATAAATTTTTTATCTTGCATATGTATTAAAAAAATATTAATTATTTTTTGGTGAAATATTTTTCCTTCGTACAACACAAAAGGCATGTTCAAGGAAACCGCAAAAACACACCAAATGGATAAACTGAATTATATTAATTAGCAGTTTGATTTAACTTGATTTGGTATTGAAACTCCACCCTACCCCACCCCTTGAGAGTTGAGTATAATTAATTTATTTTGGTTTTAATTAAAACAAGTCATAATTGAAACCAAATCAATCAACACTATGTTTATATAAATTCTTTTTTTTTTAAATGTATATTTTATACTTCGTAATATATATTATAATGTAATTTGAAAGTACTTAGAAGGCTTTGTCATAATTCATGTGTCGTAACATGTTATTTTAAGTTTGAACTTACAATTTTTGATGGTATAAATTACAATAAGTCTTTGTAAGATTATATCTCATAAATATCTAGTAACTTAAATAAAACCCAAATCAAATCATGTTGATTTTTCTTATCTTTCATTAATAATTTTTTTTTATGAATTTTCATCTTCTTCAAAAACACCGTGTAATAATTATATTTTACTATAATTAAAGGAATTTCAAAGCATTGGTTACATATTTTATATTGTGAAGACTTTACTGAAAGAAAAAATGAACCGAATCAAAAATTAAAATCTTATTAATTTAATTTAATTTGATTTATAAATTTAAAAGAGACGAAATAGCACATTTAATTTGGTAAATAAAAAATCGAACCAAACTACCATACACACCCCCTTAATAAACACAATGTGTCTTACAAATTACAGAAAAATGTTTTTTGTTTTAACTTCGATATCACGCTGAAGACATGATTTATTTATTTATTTATTTATTTATTATTTAAAAAGAGAGTAAAAAGGAGGAATCCATTAAAAATAAAATGTCCTGCTTAAAAGCTAGGTACTCAATATATTTCCGTAATTCTGAAGCCGTTGGCCGATTCACTAAAAATTAATAAATCTATTTATTATCGAGATATATGAATTGATTTCTCATATGAGCATTCAATTAATAGTTATTATTTTAATTATTTTTTTATTCAAGAAAACTGAAATCAAGAAAAAAATATAACTTTTTAAGTGACAATTTGAGATATCATCTCGAGATATAAGTTTCCTTTTCCTCTTTATTTTAGCTTATATGCAGCATATATTATGCTATTCTTTTTCTTTCTTTTCAAAAGATGGTATAAATAAATTTAAAGAAAATGAAATCTTATGTATATTATTCTCATGCCAATTTTGTGATTATGATACATGCAGCACAAGGTCCTCTAGGTATATCAGCATAATTATCGGCTAGTTAAACTGCTTATATTCAGCCTGATTGTTGAAAGTCATTCAAATAAGAAATTGACAATTGTTAGCTTTATTTTTCTTTTTAAATAAGGGAGAAGGCATAAGTACCCCTAGACTATGATCGAAATCCCAGAAATACACCTTAATTAAACTAAGGTTCTTTTACCCCTGAACTCATTTTATATATAATTTTGTGCACATTTTGGCCTAAGTGGCACACTCCGTGACTCCATACAATTGAGGCGCGTGGGAGATACTTGAATGCCACATAAGCCAAAAAGATGTATAGAATTACAAAAAAAAATGAGTTCAATGAGGTAATAGGATCTTAGTTTAATTAAAGTGTGTGTCCCTGAGTCCTGAGATATGAGTCATAATCTAAGGGGTACTTGTACCTTTTCCTTTTAAATAAAGTCTTATGTTAGTATTGAAAAGAAAAAAAAGTTAATAATAAGGTATTGAATATGTTTGATGATGTATAGTGTTTTGGAGAAAACCATGTGAAATTAATCTAAAGTGGGCTGACATTATCACACCACAATATTAAGAATATTTTTGAATTGTTTTAAGCCAAGTATGGCTGGTTTATGAAAATGAAATGAAACCATAAAACATGTGAAAGTGGTCCATGTAATTACATTAAATCCAGGGATGTGATTATCAATCCTTGTCGCCAAAACCCAATAAAAGTTTTTTTTTCCGCTCGGTATTCAGTATCCGCATAGTGACTATCCATTCTGAATTCGCTCCCCATTTGGAGGAAAGAATTTTTTATGAAGAATTTTTCATACACAAGACTCGAACGCAAGATCTCAATTTAACAAAAGTACTTTCATTTGGCCTCAAAAAAATGAAAAATACTAATGTATATTTCTAACGGAAAACATAAAAAATTAGTTTACCCTTTTTTGCCTTACCATTATGTTCTTAGAAAGCTGCTACTTAGGAGCAAATTACGATTTCAGTATATTAATAAAAGCCGAAAAATATATGGTACGCGCTAAAGATAAAATATATTACGCAGGATAAATGTTTTGCATTCAAACTTTAAGTGCAAATAAGTTTTATTATCAAGTAGAGGATTGTGATTCGAAATTAACCAAGTTTAGAGAGAAGTGGGAAAAAAGTTGGAAATATATCCGAACTTTGACTGAAATTGCTATAACAATGTCGAACTTTGGAAATGACCTTTTACCCTTGCACTATTTAATAATGTATTTTAAAGGTATATATGTGCCCACGTGGACACATAAATATTGCATTATTATAAATAGTAATGTGTCCACGTGGGCACATAAATACCTTTAAAATACATTATTAAATATTGCAAGGGTAAAAAATCCTCCATAAAATTTGGTATCGTAACAACAATTTTGACCAAAATTGAAATATTTTTCAACCCTTTTTCCTTTTTCCGAGAAAAGTAGATCTTTACGTATACCAAAACAAAAGAACTACAAAATTTATCGTTAGTCTATATCATTAAATAATCCATCAGCGACAAATTTATCCATAAGTAATTCTTTTAATATATTTTTAGTGATATGAAAAGAAAGTCATTCTGAAAATGAGAATTTCAACAAATTTGAAACTCAAATTGCCAAAAAGAAAAAGAGTGAAGTTTTTGACTAAAGTGATCCACCTAACTCAACTGCTAAATTAGTTATAAATGGGCCCCTACCCCTCCCTTTTCTTTATTTCATATTACCCTACATTTTGAGAACATTAATCTGACTTTAAGTATCTAGAAAGCAAGAAAGAAAAATAAATAAATACCCCATCCGTCCTATATTAGTCGATAATTAAAAATAGTTATTTCATATTAGTTGTCCACCTTACTAAATCAATAAAGTATTATTTAAATTTTTTCTATATTACCCTTGCAATTTTTTTTAAAAAAAAGTATTCACATTTGTTTGTAAGATTTTCAAAGAAGTTTTTTAAGGAGTGAATTAGTAAACTTATCTTCTTATTTATAATTTCTTAAGTAATGTACAAAATAAAAAGTGATGAGACATATTAATAATAGAAAGCCACAAGACAAATAAACACACTATCTTTTGACTATGGACCAAATCATGTTTTTTTATTTTCTGCCTATAATTAAGGAGCCTTCTTGGTTAGACATTCTTAATGGAATAGCACATGCAGCATGCACCAAAAGCCATAATTTCACCTACCCCACAAATCACACAAATTTTTCCCCACAATTCCTCAATCTACGCACATCATCACGGAAAGCTAAATTAAACCAAAATATTGCACTTTTAACTACTTTATATAAACTCTCCATAAGAACGAAGAAACCAATACACCTCAATATTCTACTTTAAAACTTTTTTTTCCACTATGGGGCATTTCATCAAGCAAGTGGTGTGCATTTTGTTCTTGGTGATTTCTACTCCATTTGTGCAAATTGAAGCTAGAAATAGCAAGTTTATGATCATTCCTACATCTCCTTCACCTGCTCCTACTCCGATTTCTAATGAAATTAGTTTTCCCCCTTTTTCATCGTTAAGTCCAACTTCGTCACCAACACCAGCACCAGCACCAACACCGGACTTTAATGATTTTGGATTTCCTCCGTTGTCGTCTTTAAGTCCAACACCATCACCATCACCAGGAGGGGATGATCAAGATCCTGGCTTGCCAACACCGGCGGGGGCACCGGAGGAAGGTGACATTGAAGCACCAGCACCACTTTTGAGTGACACTCCTTATGGACTTTATGGTCCTCATTCTCAGAAAGTTCCTTCTACTACTCTCACGAATTTTGATCATGATGTAGAAACTCAAACTCCTGCCAAGGAATTCCAAGGTGCCCGTTTCAACACGGACGAGTCCTACAACAACAACAATAACAATGGATACTCTGATAATTACAACTACGATAATGGCTACTCTGAGAACAACAATGGCTATTCCCAAAATTACAACAACAACAACAATGCTGTTTTCTCGGAGAATTACAACAACAACATCAACCACAACAACAATGACTTCTTCGAGAAAAACAACAACAACAACAATGATGTTTTCTCGGAGAATTACAACAACAACAACAACAATGATTTCTCCGAGAAAAACAACAACAACAACAATGATGATGTTTTCTCGGAGAATTACAACAACAACATCAACCACAACAACAATGACTTCTCTGAGAATTACAACACTAACAACAATAATGTTTTCTCCGAGAATTACAACAACAACAACAACAATGAAGATGTTTTCGCGGAGAAATACAACAACAACAAAGACTACTATGAGAATTACAACACCAACAACGACAATAGCTACTTCAAGAATTACAACAACAACATCAACCACAACAACAATGATTTCTCCGAGAAATACAATAACAACAACAACAACAACAATGATTTCTCCGAGAAATATAACAACAACAACAACAATGTTTTCTCCGAGAATTACAACAACAACAACAACAATGGTTTCTCCGAGAAATACAACAACAACAAAGACTACTATGAGAATTACAACAACAACAACGACAATAGCTACTTCAAGAATTACAACAACAACAACAACAATGGGTTCTCCGAGAATTACAACAACAACAATGGTTTCTCTGAGCATTACAACAACAATGACTTCTCTGAGAATTACAACACTAACAACAATAATGTTTTCTCCGAGAATCACAACAACAACGGTTTCTCCAATAGTTACAACAACAACAACAACAATGGATACTCCGAGAATATGTCAGAGAGGCAAGGATTAAGCGACACAAGATTCTTGAACAATGGCAAGTACTACTATGACATCAAGAATGAGAATCCCAACAACAACAACAACGATCATGCTAGCAGCTACAATAACAATGCCAATATGATGGAAAGGCAAGGATTGAGTGACACGAGATTTTCGGACAATGGCAACTACTTTTATGGTAAAAATGGTGAGAAAATGACCATGGAAGAGTTCAAAAGACAACAGGACACTGAGGATCAGTATGAACTTCCTTGAAGATAAAAAAATTATCAATTGGTTCAGAACACAAGGACAAAAGCAGGGGATATTCAAATAGATTTTACATTGAATTTAAAGTTATTTTGAGTGAGTGTTTGTGTATTAGTTCTACTTGTGTCTGCAAACACCTTTTTTTTTTTTTATAGTTCTACAAATCAGACCAAGGGAACTTTGTGTTGTTTAACACTTTTGAATTTTTTAAACTTTTTATAATGACATTAAAGCTTCATGCCTGATTATAAACTTGTACTGAAGTAGTAATGTTTTTGTACCTTCAGTTTTTTCTTTTCTTTTTTGGCAACAAGGACACCATAGTCGCCTATAACACACAAGAGATGTAAACTGCATTAGGCAAGTTCATGAGTTCGATTGAGAAACAGATGGAGGAGGTGGCTTTATTTTATTTGAGTAGATTAACTTAGTAATCCAAGATATAGACTCCTATAAACTTGTCTGATTAAAAACAATTCATATGTACGCGAATTTCATGTGGTTTGTAGCCAATAAACTATTTTTTTCAAGTTTGAATTTCAAAATTTACATAAAGATTTCCAAAATTGTATTAGAGGAAAAAAAGTCTGAGAAAGGAAAAAATAAAAGAGAAAAGATTACATGAGCATCTTACTTTTGCTCTAGAGGTGAGTTTTTTCAATTCATACAATCATTTCATTTCCCTCCTTTACCACTCCCTCAGGAAGGAAAAGAAAAAGAAAAGAACTTTGCATAGGCATATGATTAAAGTTTTTGATCAGTTGGCTACATATATATACTACTCCAATAAATATTGATTTTTTTAAAAAAAATGCTAATCTTTGCAATATAAACAGCTAATTTTAAGATTGAGAATTTTGGCCATACATTCTGTACTTCAAAATTGAAGTTGAATTTCAGAATTTTCAAGAATTTGAAAAACAACAAAAAGTATTTTCACTCCGAATTACTCAAAAAAAAACAAAAAAAAAACTTCAATTTGTATTCGTGGTCAAATAAAATTTCAAATATCAGCGCCCACTTGATCTAAGATGGGTTGTTAAAGTGGCAAGCCCACTCTCTACTTACCAGATCCAGTAGCAAGCCCACACTAAACAAGTAGTACCATTTTGGGCTTAAAAGAGTCTATGACCATAAATGGGCCGTTAAAGTTGGGCAAGCCCACAAATCTTCTTGTCCCTTTTGTCTCTGCAAATATATAAAAAAAAGTGCTACAACAAAAACCAAACAAGTACAACTTTTGCTTGGTGAAGACGAAAACCTTTGTTCTTCTCTCGTCAGTGTTCAACATCAGTGCTATTTTCCGTATGTTCACTTTGTATTTGAATTGATGAAATCAAGCTATTGCACAATCAATTTCAATAAATTTGTACTTACTACTTCTATTTTCTCTGCTAGGGTTTTAGCTGATAATGTCGAAGACTCCGGATCCAAACGGTACAGATGCTAGCGGCAGCAAGTCTACAAAAGAAGAGGCAACAATTAAGGTTCCGTCTAAAGACCCAAAGAAGAAGGATGATAAGAAGGATGAAGATCTCGTAAGTGAACTTGAATAAAAATCGAATTTTGAATGTTTTAGTTTTGGAATTTTTAGTTGTTGTTACTAATTTTGAGGGATACTGTGCTAAGAGAGTTATCACGGAATCAAAATTTAAAATTTGATTGATTAGATTGTGTTTTCGTTGTATGATTTATGATTTTGCTGGGATTAGTCGGAGGAGGATTTGGCGTTGAAGCAGCAATTGGAACTGTATGTGGAGAGGGCTCAAGATGCTGATCCAGGACTACAAAAGGTTGCACTTGAGAGTATGAGGTATTTCTCTTTCACCCTTTCTTTTTGTGTTTTTTCGGGTATGTGGATGTTGAGGATTCATCAAACGAAGTTGACCTAGTTTGGGATTAAGGGGTTGTTGTTGAGGTGAGCTGAAATTGGACAATGGTTACAGCTATAGATAGTGTAAAGGCTCTTGCTTTTGTTAAGCTCCACTTGGGAGATTAAATATGTTTTTGGGGCTTTGATATTCTAGCTCCTTCGCATGCTGTGTTGTTTTGAGGGAAATCCGGGTACACACAAGGAGGGGAGCTGCCTGGTAGAAGTTGTCTTTAGTGCTTTAAGGTGCCTTATTTCATTATAGGTAAATAGCTGCTTGAAGATGGTTCCACATTCCCCTTTTTCTCTTCTCTGTGCGTATATGCTAAGTACACCTGTAGTAGAAGAAACGTTCTTGAATATAAATGTAATAGTTGCAGTTTTATTGTTAGCGGACATGTTCTTTGGTAACTCTTTCAGAAAGAACTGTGACCCCCTTTGACAGTTCTAAATCTATCAGTTAGACATGGCAAGTTAGACATGACAACTGATGGAAAATGTTTGTAAGCATTTGTAAAAGATAGCCTTTTGGAGAATTAGCAAGCACTACATGCATATGAAGCATGTACATTATAATGTTGCATCCTCGAAATATCTGTGGAAGATTAAACTATAGCTTTTTTTTTTTTCTAGACCGTGTCTATAAGCTCCTATCTTCAGTTTGTATGTGAAATCAGGCACCGGCTTAAATCTTCAATCCTTTAACTTTTTAGGTTCTGTCCTTTACATAGGCAAGGACTCATTTTCTTTTTGGCTCTTATGCTTATTCATCTTTCCTTTGTTATAGACAGGAAATTCGTACATCAACAAGCTCGATGACCTCAGTTCCAAAACCATTAAAGTTCTTGCGTCCCCACTATGGGACACTGAAGGGATATTATGAAAAAATGCCAGACTCAGATTTGAAGGTATGGAATTGGCATTGCACTTAACTGCTGTCGAAGTTGAATAAATTTCACTTACGCAATTTCAACTGCATGCAGAAACTTATGGCAGATATACTTTCTGTTTTGGCTCTGACAATGTCTGCTGAAGGAGAAAGGGTATGTCTTGTTTTTGGTGTATTTTAATAACTGTGCATGTGTAATATGCCATTACTCGTGCTTTTGTGAACATTAACAACTTCTTCATCTATTTTATGGCTATTATCAATTCTATTGGTTCTTACAGGAGAGCTTGAAGTATAGACTGGTGGGCTCCCAAGGTGAAATTGGTTCCTGGGGACATGAATACGTTAGGTAAGTTTGATAGGCAGCTCTCTGTTCTTCCCATTTATATGATTATTCCTTTAGTAAGAACATATTAATATTATTTACGATTATTTAAAACTTATTTTGGAATAGCTTACCAAGATATGACTTCAGAAAATATGCATCTTCTCTGGGAAGTATAGCTCTTTCACGAGCTCATATTTGTATTTATATTATTTCCCAGTCTTGACGGACATCAATGGTGCAAATGAGTGTGTGCATAAAATCTCTGGCATGTGCTGTTTTGTGAAACATAGTACCTAGCGCAGCTGCGTGTTAAGTTGATCTAGGATAAGGAAATAAACTCTATATTTGCATGAGTGATGGTTCATTTTTAGGGGAAAGGAATATATAGCAGTAGTGAAGTGTATCTATGTCCTTGTCCCAAGTGTTGGGGTTGAGCTGTAGGAGTAACGACATGGAGATTCCAAGCTCGAATCCCAGCTACAACATCCAGTGTGAGCCCATCTACTTTAGCTTTAGTGACGGCCTGGCAGAATTAACTTGCACCTGTGTCTATGGGATTTAGTATGCTGTTTGATGGATCTGTCATGTTGGACGCTGACTGACCCAAAATCACCGTTGGCGTCATCCAGAGATGTTTATCTATATTGTTGTGTGATGTTAATGCTGGTTTCCAGTGTAATGCATGAGATGACTTTCTGATTGTGTTCCATTTCAATATTAAGATACTAGCTCTAAACAGTATACACATTACTTTGTGTGTGAATTCATGTGTTTCATTTCTCAATTCTTGCCCAGTCCATTTTGGCACCTCAAGTATTGGCTAACCGATTATTTCTACAGGAACTTAGCTGGAGAAATTTCACAAGAGTATGTAAAACGACAGGTTTGTTTTCCTTTATCTCTTAAGTTGTGTAAGGTTTCAGAAGAATATTACTATGTGTTTTTTATACAGTTTGTGCTGTTCATGCTTTGTTTAGAGTTCTGGTTACTTGATGCATCAGCAATTCAGGCTAACTTTACTGCTATGTTCATATGTACCTTCTATCATTTTTATACAAGTCATTGATTCTCTGCATATTACTACTACAGTAGTTCCACGAGGCCCGGGCCTGGGCCCAAACTCAAGGTATAAAAGTAATAAATTTAATTAAAGAAGTATAATTTATATCATATTTTTTTACTTTATAATTAATATATAATCTAATGGCTCGCTGGACAGTTGATAAGTCTTCATAATTATTTAAGTTCTTAATCATATAATTGGATATTTTAATTAAAATTACTATTTATGAGGAAAAAAGTTTGGCGGGAGAATTAAAAAAAACAGAACACAAGTGATTAGATATTTTATAAAATAACATGATTTAAATACGTAAATAAGTACAATTCAATGAAGATCATAAATCGAAGAGTATTGGCATTTTTATGAATTTGTGAGCAAGCAACTTAAGTATTAATTATCTACAGAAATAAATTTAATTTGATATTTATTAAGTTCTAATTTCATTCGTAATTTCTTCCAGCAGGAGTTTCTGCAAAAAAAATTTCCATCTTATAGAATAATTTAATACAACAAAAAAATTTCAATAACTTCAAGTTTATATTACAATAGTTTTGACCTCAATTTAGAGGCTTTATAAAAATTAACTTATTAATAGTCTTATAAGAATATTAATAAATTATAATTGAAGTACATTAATAAGGATTCCATTTGATCCATTTTACTTCTTTTTTTACTTTTTATAAACCCTTGAAGAATACCCCATCCATTCCATTATAATTATTGTTTTTTTTTCATGTCTATTAAAAAGCAATATATATACAACGTATTACTAAATTACCATATTCATTAGATGCTTTTTGAGAATCAAAACAATTTTTAAGAGAACTATAAGGGTATAATTGAAACTAATTGTACATTTTAATTTGGTACTAACAATTGTTTTGAGATATTTTTTTGAGGGAAGGGACTATTAATGTAAGAGAGAGTATTAACTAAAAGGTAATAATTAATATAATAATTGGTAAGAAGAGATTCATATAGTTACACCAATAACAAAGGCCCAAGTGAGAATGATCTTAAGAAAAAAGTGAGGGGAAAAATGGGAATATGTTACACCA